GTGTATTGTATCCGACACATCAGTTTTCGGAACAAAAAAACAAAAATAACGAAACATTACATCACTACATCACTGTGTTTATTTGTTAATTCACAGTATAGGCCAAGAGCTAGGGGAATGGAATTCCTTTGATGACAATGCTGGACATCCCTTCTTTTATGTCAGACAAGACGTTTCACAAGACTTCACTAGAGTAACCTGCACACAGATGACAAATGTAAGAGGTCATCCCCATATTATGTTCTTGCCACTACCTATTGCGTTGTTGCGGAGGAGGAAAAGCGACATATGTTATCTGTATACTTGTGCATTCCAAGAAATCAGATATAGTGGTGAGGAATTGTAAAATGATGACTTGACGCAGGTGGGCTAAGTAGGAGGTTGTTTTCAACCCCAGTTTGCGGGAAAATCACAGGACATTGTGTGCATACTGAATCCAGCAACATAAGCAGTATTTCATACGGGTGTAATATAGTGCGGCTTGAGAAAATTAATGCATCAGTTATTTTTGTGTTAGGGTTGTTTGCCCATTTATGACACTAACACCCAACACAAATCACAGTGGAAAAAGGAAAAATTCAATGGGAAAAAAGGCAAGAGTAGAATTCAAACCAAGGTCCTCAAGTGCACAGATTATGTTTCCTGAGTGGAATTTCCCTGCCATAGTGCAATGGCATGGTGCTGGAACAAGTGTCTAGAGCATTCAGCACATGGGGAGCCTAAACACCTACTTTTGAAGCTGCTAATTGCATGAATAATGATTGCTTCCTCACTCAGTTCACCCAGGGACTCTACTTGAAATGAAATCTAGACCAGAGGCTTGGCAGGCAGGGAGGTTAGATGCGAGTTTGGCACATGTGTCTTGAGCTGATGAGTTTCAAAGTGAGCATTGACAAAGGGCACATCAGCGTTGTTCAAAGTTACGTAGTCTGGGCGGGCAGTGGTCGCAGTCAAAGCTACGTACCAGCGCATCCTGTATATGAGCACTGAGGGTGAAGCACAAATTCTTCTAACCAGAGGATGAAACTGCTGGAGGGATCCCACAAAAACTGCAGGAGCGTTAAAAGCAGCACACCTGATTTTGAGTCCCCTATGGTTATGGAGACTTAGCCAGGACCACTATTAGAGAGGCCTACCCGTAATGGCCTCTTGCCTCCATGGCCATAGGTATATATGTAGCAGGGGATGCTCTGAGAATATTCGGAAGAGCCAGGCAAGATCGAAAAATGGTTGTTTCCGTTTGAGCATCAGCCAGATCTCTCAGAGAGGTGAGGGAAGTTTGGAAATTTTAGATCCGCTTTACTCCTCACACAAGGAGGGGGTCAACCAAGGAGACAGAAACCTGAGCGGTCAATTGGGATATCTAGAGGAGGAATCATGCATGAAGTGGAGGGACTTGGATCTGTTGAGATGGAGCATAAGAGAAGGCCGTCTTATTCGACGATCTACATAGCGAGGGCCAGGTCACTGAGGGAGCCACATCATCCAGAAAGCAGGTGTTCAGAAAGACTGCCTTGATGCGTTGCATGATAGGGTGGAAAGTGAGGACAACCCCTGCAGATTCCCTGGCAGACTATTATGAAGGGGAAATAGAAAAGATCAGCCATTAGAAAGTTGTGTTGTGGCAATCCTGTGGTGCTACTGGCATTCTTTATATAGAGCAATGTGGAATGCACTTGTGAGATAAACCTTACAATTTCCGTTGCTAATGAGTGCAAACCCTCGGCGAACTGCGCATGCGCGGTACCGCTAATTGATGGGCTGGGCCTATCACTAAGTACGGTAGTACTTAGTATATAGGATGACACAGGTTGTCCTGCATTATGCCCATACATTGGATTTTCATATTTCAATCAGATCCAACTTTTGACACATCAGACTAATTTGTATGGTCACAAAGAGCACGTATCCAAGAAATAGCTTAATCGTTACTTGATTTATTCAAAAAAGTCACTTTTCAATTTTCTTGTTGTTGTTGTTGTTGTTGTTCAGTTTCAACAAGCGTATCTCAAAAACCGGGTAAGATATGAAGATCAAACTTTGCACAAAGATTGGAATCCATGACAGGTCGTGCAAGAAAATTTTTATTATTATAGAGACAAATAAAGTGTGGTAACTGGGTAAAGCTAATACCCAGAGTGATAAAACTTTGTACACACATGCAACCCATCATTAGTATCAAAATGTAAACATGACAAGTTTGTAAACAACAACAAACAGCCTCAGGCAATAAAAAGTTGTAAAATGTGTTTGTGCCTATAACTTGCTTATCGTGGGTCCTCTAACGATGAAACTTGGTACACTGATAAGAGTTCATCGAAACAGAAATTACAAGTTAGTAAACAATAACAAACAGCCTCAGGCAATGAATACTTGTAAATGATGTTTGTGCCTATAACTTGCTTATGGATGGTCCTCTAACAATGAAACTTGGTACACTGATGTACCATGGTGAGAGTTCATCGAAACATAAAAATTACAAGTTTGTAAACAACAACAAACAGCCTCAGGCAATAAATTCTTGTAAATGACGTTTGTGCCTGTAACTTGTTTATTGTGGGTCCTCTAACAATGAAACTTGGTACACTGATTTACAATGATAAGAGTTCAATTACAAGTTTGTAAACAACAACAAAGAGCCTCAGGCAATTAAGTGCTGTTTTTCCTATAACTTTGTATACTTATCTACTTTGGAAGTGAAATAAAAATGTAGATGACGACTAACAGTCCGAGGCAATAGATACATGTTACTTTTTATATGGACATTATGCCCCAATGTATGTGCATTCCGTAAAAAGAGGAAAGGAGACAAGTAAATAAAAAATTCTGCGAAATAAAAAAGTGTGGAATATAGGGATGCCATAAAAAGCAAGGAGACAAGACAGGGATGACCTGGGCATGTCATGCAGTAGTACAATGGGATGATTGTTACATCTTCAAACTGACATTTCCTGCTCATGTAAATTTTACTCCACACAAGCCCTATCTTGTGCCTCTTACTCATGACATGAGTTTTGAATAGTGTAGTGTGAAGACTGGCAAACGAATTCTGTAGGGAAAGCAGCATTGTAAAACCGGTTAGTTGAGCGAACATTGAAGGAAACAAAATCACGATTCAAAACTGAGGACCTGTCAGAGAGGGCATTTGCTACCATTCTTACGTGCATAGGAAACGAGTCATAGCTGTACATCATACGATACATATCACTCGTGCTTTGCGACAATAATAGGGCTTGTGTGGAGTAAAATTTACATGAGCAAGAAATGTCAGTTTGAAGATGTAACAATCATCCCATTGTACTACTGCATGACATGCCCAGGTCATCCCTGTCTTGTCTCCTTGCTTTTTATGGCATCCCTATATTCCACACTTTTTTAATTCGCAGAATTTTTTTTTACTTGTTATAATTATTATTACTTACGTATACTCGTGATCTCCAGCTAGAGTCTGACACGGGCTATATAGCTACAGTAGTACATAGCATGCGGGAGTCGATACACGTCCTTCGTTGTGGCTTCTTGTGCCTCCGAGGTACACAGAACAAGCGGATCAGGTCGAGGTAAGCCAGTGCTAATTAGCATAATTATTGGCTTGTTCACTTGGTTTTCACGCCATAACTTCTGAACGCGGCACTTTTACGAAAATCGGCAATTTAAAAAAAACAACTAGTGTAGCGCTAAACCCGCTGGTGTCGCTATTTTACCTGTTTGTTGCGCGTGGTGGCAGAAATCGTGGTAAAAGACGGACAGACGGACGGACTACTGTAACCCTCGCTGCGCATGCGCGCTTACGGTTAAGAGGCAGGCAGAGGAAGTGCTGGAGTAAGGTAATCCACAACCTATTTTTACTCTTAGGTCTTTACGAGGCAGAGTGGTTGGATTATTCAGAATTGGGTTTGCATCTTGAAGGGATTTTTGTCTGCATTGCTGTGTGGGAGAAGTTTGAAATAGCAAACTAAAGAAGAAGGTTGTAGAGTTCAAAAGGTATTTGCATGGTGCGAGTGATGCTGGGTCTAGATTGATGTTCAAGTTTAGATCACACATAGAGTCAATAAGAGTTTAGTTGGCTTAGAGGGAAGGGATGAGGGAGTGCCTGTTGTGGAATGATGAGTTTGAAAGTGTGAGTCATCTGTTGTGTGAGTGTCCAGTTTATAGTAGCAATTTCTTAGTTGACTTGGAGGGGAAGCTTGGGGAAGGGTTTGAGTATTTTTAGTCCCTTAATAGTGTTAGGAAAACATCCTTTGTGTTGGGTAGTGAGCTGTGGGAAGGTTAGTTCTCTGCTTGACTTTGTTGATTGGGAGCTCAGAAACATTAGGTTATGTAGATACTCTCTGCATTCCCAGTCTCTGGGCAGCTGCAGGGTGTTTTTGGTAAAAGAGATGAGTTTTTGTGAAACACCAGTTTAATGTATGTTTGTCTGTGTTCCTCCCGTTGCTCTTGGTGCATGGTCAATGACTATAACTGTCACTTGAGTATTTTGTGTGTCTATCTCTCTGTACGTATGAGAACAGCACACCAACATGATAGCTTCCAAACTAACTTTTATAGACAACAAACACTGCTATGCATAACCAGTGTGGACCTGGGTTAATAACATCAGGTGTATACCTTAATTCGTCATCTGTGTAAAAACTTTAGATATTAGAAAAAGCACTACATAAGTGCTTTTTCACTCTGTGCATAATGTTTCAATCGCTATGTTTCTCATTGTACTAAAACTCATTTCTGGTATACTCCATTGCTAAAACACTACAATAATCTAACTACATGTCTATATAGTTATGTCACTACTCACTTAGTCTTCATTTACTACTATGTTTTCCCAGTCCTGCTCTCTAACAATGCAGAGCTCTATCACACACTTCCCACAGAGGAGATTTCTTGGTCCCTCGGATCGACCAGGACTTTGACGCTGCTTTCCAAGGCTTCTTCCCCGACCAACATGTCTAACAAAGAAATCAGTAATGATTAACTATCAAAAACATTCGTCAACTACATACCCCCCAGCAAGCAAGAGTCTGGTAGCTGACTTTCAGCTTTACACTGTTGTTTTTCCACTGGTGGTAAATGCCACCACAGTTCCGCACCGTGATTCTGCCATACTTATAGCAAACTGTTGTGGAGAGTTCTGGACTGATTACATAGTTGAAGGATCCTACAACATCAATGTGGCCTTTTGCTAGACTCTATAAAAAAAACAACATTAATAATAGTTTGAACACTGAAACTGAGGGCTTGGCTTACGAGAATATTTGCGGAAGCTTTGGCTCCTATCTTGAAGGTTGCAGTTGGTGTGAGTCCTGCACTAGCTGTGCTACTCCCCCGATTCTCACAGAACTTCACAAAAGCCTGATTCGAAAACTGAATGTTTCCAGTTACTCTAAATTTCAGTACACCCACGTAGATGTAAAGAGAGTGAGTGAGACGAAAGATTGGAAATGATTTCATTTTCCTCAATGTAGTTGTGTATTTCTTACACACTGAGCTTGGCTCCCATACATCTATATTCTTAAGAGTCTTACCAGCCACCATAATGTAGAGAACGGAATGAGTGTTCTTTCGGCTCTTTTGTCGAAGTATTTTTAAGTCAAGGGCTCTGTAGCGACGGCCAAATGCATTAGCTTCAATCACTGCATGGCCAAACAGTTTGTAGTCACCGGCTTCACTGACACCCATAAATCCCCCAGCAGCTACTTGAATATTTCCATCACTCACTCCCATCTTTTTTCCCCATATGTAGTTCTTACTGTAGCGATACAGCCTCTGGTCATCCATTCGCACTTTTAATGGCTCAACTAGGTCATACACTTTGTTCTTATCAGCCCAGTTGGTGCCTCTTCGAAGTCGTGTACCGTTTGAGTGTGGGACACTCTGCAATACCTCAGCCAACTGATGTGATTCGTGGGTGTCTACAGCTGAAAGGTAGTGTAGGATTGAAGAATCAAACTGTCCCTCGGTGTTTTCAATTGCAGCAAGGACAAGAGCAGATGCCAGGTTGCTATTGAATGGTTTTTCAACATGATTTTCTCTTGCATGCTCAAGCCCATACTTGAGTGAGCTCATAAAGCTGTCTATGTGATCTTCAGTGATGTCAGGTCGAAGAAGCAGTTCTGTCAGAGCCTCTTGTACAAGAGTTTCATTGAGCAGATATCGCAGAGCACTGATAGTGGTCAGCTGGACATTTGTGCTTGGATGCTTGAGGTAGGTCGTAATTGCTTCTGCTGATTTTGGTGATCCAGCATTGCCTAGGGAGTGAAGGTGGTGGACCAAAGATTGTTCATTGATCCCAGCCTGTTGGAGGCGCTGTAAAAGAAACTGAGTCATGTGCTGTTGAAGCTCAGGGGATGCTCTAGGAATCAGGCAGCCGTAGGCCAGCAAAAGTGGGTCATTTGAGTGCACGTCTGCACCAATGTGGTTTTCTATCTCAGTAATAAGCTGTAGGTGGGGGTTGCGCACAAATGCAATGTACATAACGACACTGAGGTGTTCCTCTTCACTCTTTGCTTTTTCCAGGGCTTCAAGTAGAGCCTGTGCACCAGATAAGTACATGCAGCAAAGTTGTAAAGTTACACAAAGATCAGGAAATGATAATTAGAGCGTCGGTAGACGCTCTATATTATAGAGATGGCACAGGTGAAATCTCACGTATTCCGCATGCAAAACACCACAAAACTCGGCGAGAATGACTCGCTATGCCTTCAAAACACACTAGCGATAGTATAAAGGCCGATATCTAACCATACATCTACCCAAAGACCTCATACGCATCTTCAGTTCTCCATGCGAGACTTCGCTCCTACGCCATTTCAGGATTTTGGCGTCATCATCATCATCATCATCGTAATAATTCATCTTCTTCTTTAAACCTGCTAGCTATCTCCTTACCAAAACCAGTTTAAGCGATGATTTTTCGCTGAACGTCTACAAATTCGCTGTAGGTGTGCACGAACATCAAGCGATCATTTCTTACTTGCCGCAAGTCACGACGATAGATCGTGGAGCTCTTCCATGGTGACACTGAACAACGCCATTTGCTGCTAACTCAGTATCAGTGAGGCTCATGCGCCAAGCAGGGTCAGGCCGCCCGTCGGGGGCGTTGTTCATGCACTGAGAGCACGACAGGCCTGCAGTGGAACTCTCAGCCTCCGGGTGTCTGTAAGTCAGTGTACACATTTCCAACTTGCGTTTTGCTGTTGATTTGTACGAGGAACAACTTGGCAGAGTCTGTGCGGTGTTATGTAAGCCTTGCTAGGCGCAAAAATGAGCCTTTATTCTTTGACCAGAGGCTTGTAGTCTGATTACTAAAGCCTGCACCACCACGTGCCACAACCTAATTACACCCTTGTTGAAGACAATCTACTTCCTGCCTCAGACACCAGCAGCCCATTAGCTACTGCTTAAAGGGGCATTCTCTAGCTACAACATACCAAAGAGTGACTGTAACAAAAAAATATGAAGTGTTGTTATAAGCTGTGAAAAATAGTGAAAACAAGCGGAATAATAGTGAAGGGGGATATAGGGATGGCTTGAAGCACCAAAAAGGAAGAAACAAGGGGTCATTGCACAGCAAACATCCAAAAAGCTACACGACACCATCCCTATATATTTGTTTTATTGTTCATAAGCAAAATATCAGATATAGGGATGGTGTCTTTTTGGATGTTTGCCGTGTAATGACCCCTTGTTTCTTCCCTTTTTGGTGCTTCAAGCCATCCCTATCTATACCCCCCTTCATTTTGAACAAATGATTTTTCCACTTGTAAAGACATGAGCAAGCTAATCTACCCACTAAAAGGGGTCTGACATAGTTCCTATCATTCTCAGGGGCCGTAGGGACAGCACCTGGTCTGTGCATCACAAAAATGAATTAGGGAACCTGCCCCTAACTAAAAAGGTTAGGAACAAGCGACGACATCTTGTTTGTAGCAGTGTAATAAATCACCTGTTGTGATTGCTGACTTCCTGCAGGTGCAAGCATGGAGTAAATCCGGTCTCTCATTTCAACATCGACGGAATCCTCTGAACTGCCCAGCTGTATTGTGTAATGAACAGTTGGCTATGCAACATGCATACTGGCTATGCATGACTGACTGCACCTTTTTCAAGAAGCCAAGAACGCTTTCAATGGCAGGTTTTTTCTGTCCACCCTGAGGTCCGTATGTTTCCTCTAATTCCAGGAGTTCTCCAATTTTTTGTGCTGTGTACAATGTAAGGACTTAATACAATTGAACCCTTGTGGCAGATCCGTACCGAGGGTTAACAAAAAGGGGGACTTCAATGGATAATTGTAACTGCTTAAAATTACCTATTCCTTCCTCATCGTGCTCAATGTCATTATGAAGTTCCCGAAGAGCATCAGTGATGCTTCCAAGTTCAGAGCGGATCTCCACAATATGCTCCAGGTCAGCATGAGCTGTATAGGGGAAAATGGCATGAGTACACACCGTTGCCTTTTCCTCATAGCATTACCGTGAAGTGATTATGATACAATGAGGATTTCCGTGTGTGGGTATGTTTGTGCGTGTGTGCCTGTGTGTTTACTCAGAAGGAGGACAGCACATCAAACTCTGAAGAAAACACTCTAGAACGCTTGATCACTAGTGACTTAATGAGCAGACTGTAATACACAGCACTTACTGTGGTTGATTACAGCCATAAGGGAGCTCTGTACTGCTTCAGGGAGAGAGAGAAAATCTACAGCATCCCTCTTGCTCTTAGCAATCCTCTCCTGTCTAACTTGAGTCAAAGAGAAAGAACCTGAAGCCTCAAAGTGGTTCATTTTGCTGTTTTCATCATAGGTTGGGTCTGGCCTCCGAGCTTCATTGTAGGCCTGCCTCTTCTTCCTCCTATCAGAGTCAGTGTCAGCTTCAAGGAAATCTGCTTCAACATCCTTCCCAGGAGGTACATGTACCTGTATGAGTTTGGATTACTATAACGGTACCTATAGGTCTGATCACTGCTCAATAATTAGATTGCTAGGACAGAGAGAATGTACATGTCACATCTGGAGTATGAAATTGGTAGCTAGGTAAGTATGGTGCAAACCTCAGTCAGTATGGAGAAAGAGGATGAGCCACTGGCTTTCTGGGGAACACCTGCCTTGTACTGAATTGTGCCTTTACTCCGCACTTTAACTTGATCAGGTTCAATGTGTGAAGCATAGTCTATTACGTCGCTGGAGTCCACTACACGAGTCTGTAGGACAGTGCCTTGCTCAGTCACTCCTTCCATACTCGCATCATTGCTGCAGTATGCGGATTTCCCATGATGGCTATTACCCCATTTACATGTTAGTTGTTGGTTGTATGACATTACATGCAAATTACATACAGACCAGCTAGCTACAGGAGCCTGGTGTCAAAAGGGAAGCCTAGCAGCTGTAGTGGCACACTTTTCTATCGTTAACCCTCGGCGCGCATGCGCAGCGAGGGTTACGGTAGTTGGTTTGTCTGTCTGTGTCTGTCTGTGTGTGTCGACGCTTATTCTGGCAATACAGGCTACGGGGTGGCGAATGAGCGATACCATGGAGTAAACGCATGAATAGCCCAGCCCATCAATTAGCAGTATCGTGCGCATGCGCAGTTCGCTGAGGGTTTGCACTTCATTTATTAGGCAACACACCCAATTCACATGGGCAAAGCAAAGAAGCAAGATACACTTCAGCTACCTAATGTCTCATCTGATCATCTTAACTAAAGCTGTCTATAGAGCAGGGTGATCATTATTGCAACTCTAACAATAACAGCTCACGCTTGACTTACAGTTTTACGTTTGTTACCAATACAGGGAGTTATCATTACAGCATACATGTATCTTGATCTGTGAGCTGATGTTGGATCAGCTTCCTTTCTTGAGCCTTTCATCTTAAAATCGGCTTGTATGTCAGCAATGATCCTCTTCTTGAAGTTGATACTACTAGGGTCGTCCTCCTTGGCATGGAACTCAACAGGAATAGCTCCATCGTCTCCTTGGAAATACATGAACCACCCTCCCATGTTTTTAGTAAATGTTTTTTGTATCTCCGCATCCCATCCATCAAACCCTTCCTCACGAGCCATGTCAGCAGCAGCTTTCTGAAAGAGCGGACCACTAGCACGAGTTTTTGTGATCTTCATTTGAAAAAGGTGTCCTGGCTGGCCATTAAATTGCCCACCTGTTGGTTGTGTTGGTATAGACTCTAAAATAATACTAGTCTCGCGGGCCATACAATACTGTGCAAGGTGAGAAAATAGTGTTTTCTCCTCACCCCCACGCAATAAGAAAAAAAACGTATGGCCTGCGAGACGGATAGATCCTGCCTCTATGCAAGGGTCTTAGCTACCAGCTCGATGCAGCATTACTGACACAATAAAAATGATGATGGCATTATAGCTACTAACTCTTAGTAGAAAATATTACACTAGATATTCCACACCAAACATTTCAGCTGCAGCCTTTGTGAATACAGGTGAGAAAACCTCGAGAGTAAAAACCATAAAGATGTCTAATAGTGCTGGCAACTTGCAAATCGTTGTCACTATCACCATGCAACAAACAACAGTGAGCTACCTTGTCGACCATAAGTGTGCTCGTGTACACGTGTAATAAGGCTTTTGTCTTTCTCTCTCTTAATAGTACACATCACCAGATAGATCTTTCAGTACTCACGCCTTTTGAATTCATTACCCCATTGTTCAATTCCACGTAAGGAGGCTTTATTTACGCTGGCTGTAAGTAAAGCACTTGCCCCGGTTGCCCAAAGCATTTCCTGCAGTAAAGATCGAGTTGGTCTTGCGGGACCAAGCTGCACTTTTTCCATGTACAGAAGATTGTGCCCATGCACAGTCTGTGAATTAGTTGAGAAAGTGCATGTGCACACAGTTACTTACCCGAGATGCAGGTGAGGGTTACTTGACAATAGACATAAGTTGTTTCCTTGTTCTTCCCATCAAACTGAGTTTGTGTTGAGCGGTAGTCATAGACATTTCTCAGTCCTTCTAGAGTTGCCTGTATGGATTTTGAAATACTGACATGAAACTCCTAGGCATGTATATAACACAGTTTACAGTAGTCATTCTCTCACATTACCCGACATGGTTTAGTTGGGATGTACCGCAACTTCTGAGCTAAACTCAGACCTGCTGAACACAGGACTGCAACCACAACGAGAGTGTGATAAGAAATCTTACCCATTCTTAACAACAGCAACACAGGTCTTTACGGGCTTAATTTATAGAGTTGGCTTTCCATGCAGGGGTGCTCCTGCTCCTTGTTTGTTCTGTGAGGGTTATGGTATTTCCTTCATGGAAGAAGAAATGAGGCTTGTGTGTAGCTGTTTAACTTACTGTAACTGCAACAAGGAAAGTATTTCACGGCATCTTAGCACACAAGGAAACTTGGGATGCTACATTGGAGAGAGGTATACTTACGGCTGAGTGTGAGGCATCTGGTCTATGTGGCTGTTATGAGACACCTAGCTAACACTTGACCAACCGCAGACAGATAAATGTATCCAGAGCCTAAGAATTTATATGGGGTTAACTAGGCGCTATTACTTTATATATCAATTTCTGCTTATTTAAGCAGATCCCATTGGGGTAAAGCTTACTTTTTCTATTATTCACAAAACTGATATTTTGGTGGAACAGGATACCAATCATTTTATACACATGTTTAGGAAACTGTTTAAGAGTCATTAGTAGTTATCACCAGTGCAAACAAAATTTAAGAGAAGGGAGGGAACAGGAGGATAGAGAATCAGAGATGAACAAGAGAACGTGAGAATTACAGAGGGTGGAAGTAGAATTGGAGAGTAGTGGGAACAAAGAACCAGAGAATTAGAAAGAGTTGAGAGAAGAAAATGACAGACCAAAGAATTTGAGAGGAGAGGGGAGAGAAAAGAACCTCATTACAACCAGAGATTTGGGGAGTGGAGAGAAGCAGAGGGCTAGAGAACCAGAATATTGAAGTGAGTGGGGAGAGAACCAGGAGAGGTAAAGGACAGAACAAGAGGACCAGCAACAGGGTGAGGGGAGGGAGAGCAGGCGCATACGTAGCCCGACCGTCCGTCGCGGAGACTAGCGTTTGCGCAAGAGCGCTCTCCCCCACTCAGCGCAAGCGTATAATAATTATACACACGACGGTCGGGACGTATATACCGTAACGCAGCCACGCCCGATTTTACTACGTTTACGAAAGAGATTATGGCGACTAAGACCCGCAAGTACGTACTGCGCTCCCACTTCTCTGGATTTCCGCAGAGAGATGCCCTTGAAATCATCGAGGAGGACCTGCCACCAATAAAAGATGGAGGTGAATGCTTATCCTCAGGCACGCCTTTACGAACGCTGGTTCCGCCCTCGCGTCCTCACCGCGTGATGTCCGTGTGTGTTGCGCTGTGATCAGCCGAAGTGATCCAACCGTGGAGACGTGCGTATGTACAAACATGTGTTAGAAGTGACACGGGTAAAGCAAGCATGCACATAATAGCATGAGCGTGTATCCGTGGCCGTCTGTAAGAAACACAATATAGATGCAAATGCCTGGCTGAATATCAAGTCCATTGGAACATATTTTATGATAGGTTTGTGCCTTTCTTTATGATCCCTTTTAATCCACTGAACTGTGCATGCCCCAAAGGTGATAAAAAGAAGGCGATAATGCTTTTTAAAAGAAGAAAGTCAGTAGCGTATCCAGGGGGTGATATGGGTGTTCAAACACCCCCCTTACGACAGGGCCAGGACCACGTAAACACGCACACGCGATTGCGCCTCGTGATACTGCGCATGCCTGGGGTCTGGGTTTCCCCGTGTTCAGCTGCGTAATCTAGCGGACCTAACCGCACCAGGAAGATGTCGACTTTTAGTCAGTTCCTGCCCTCTTGTGCATGTGCAATAATTATTACTACTTCTGCCATGGACGCGGTAATACTCCCTCTTCGCAAATGCTTGAAACGCCACTGAAAGTCCTTATAAAATGTTTGTGACTGATTTTGAAATGAGGCCATCCTATGCTTCACATTAGCACACCTACAAATTCTGAAATATGTAGCGTTGTAGCGTACAACACCTCAACTGCAAAATTCCAAGATCATTAAGCAGGTTGCAGTAACGCTGATTTCTGCACTTGTAAAGAGGACAGACTTACCACCGGCTCTGGCACCCAAGCACAGTCACATTACCATTAACCCTTTAGCAATCCACATGGGCCAGTGTGTTAGCATTTAACCAGCAAACCTGCAATCACAATGCTTTTACAGACAAATGGTGTCGGTAACTCCTCGGTAGTCAGGATTGAACTCGTCCAGTTTGCGTAGCTCGTAGGGCCATAACCAGTGTTCAGAGAGCACTACTATATCTGAACCCTCATGGACCATGTGTTCAAGGTAAGAGGCAGCAGTCGTGTTCAAGGTAAGAGGCTCCAGTCGACCAACTTCTACAATTCCAGCTAGTGATGGTGAGGGGCTGCTGCATTATTAAGGCGGTACTGATTGCTCTGGGTGCTCTCGTAGGGTTATGGCAAGATGGTTTCAGAGTCCCCCCTCCGACCACCACCCCCCCCAAATGTCCACCACACAGCACGGGCATGTGTGAGAGCATTGTGGAGAAGAGCTTTGTTTTTTGTGTCCCACACTTTTCTTTTATTCGTCATGTCATATTCTTACCTTTCTCACAGAATTTTTGTGTGAGGCCCAGTGGATCTCTGTGGATCCGTACATGAGGTAGCAAGCTCTGATTATATTTGCTGAATGTATAGTTGGCAAGCGGGAACGAGCCAACCTAGTTGTTGCAAAGAAAACCTGCTGTAGATGGGAGGCAAATAGATCTACTTTTTTCGCCAAGGCATCCTAAGAAATTAACTGATGATTCAGTCGTCATGATCAGTAACGCAGTATACGTGGATCTCTGCAGCTCGTGCATGCACTCTGCACAACATGCAAAAAACCGGGGATTTTGGCTCTAGTTCTCAGGTCGACCCGAGAGCTCTGAGGTAGACCTGACAGTTCCCCAGGTTTATGTGAGTGCTGAGTGTCTCCGTGAAAATTCATGTTTTCTCAGGTAGACCCTAGAGTTCTCAGGTCGACCCGAGTGTTCTCCTGATACTAATGGCATGCCATACGAGTGCGGGACTAGGCTTCCAGGAGGCGGCGTCTAGCGCTCCAAGACAGCCAAAGAGAACGGGGAAACGCACTTGTACTGACGCCGGGCGCCACGCAAGGCACGGCGTGCAACACAGGCTCATGTGCTCAGCTTGGGTCGCTTCCACTCGCCAACAAGTCAATGTTCAACATTCTCCTAGTATATTATACTGTGAAGTAGAGTAAAATAATTGTGTGTGCAGGCCTTACTCTTCCCGCCTTCCTCTGGGGATTACCATGATTGGAACACAAGTTGCCAAGTGAGTGCTGACCTTTGTGTCACTACAGTAATGAGTAACATTATACATACAGAGTTGTGGAGAGCAGGAATGACAAGTACTCACCTGGGGATTTGGTAGTGTCCAACTTTGGCTGGGTCACCCACACAATATCTGATGGATTCCAGCGGTGGGGCGACAAAGATGGCCCTGTGCTCAAATTGGACCCAGCTGTTCACTCTTCACCTTCAACTGCACTCGGTGTACTTGGAATGCCAGGGTAACCAGAGAATAGTAATGCGTCACCTTTGTTTCAATAAAACCTTTTACTCCCAATATTCTGCTCAACATGTAGGGCAACTTCCTACTTTGGATTTCTGGAGATCTGCAAGCCCAAGGAGGGCGAAACCCTAGTTGTAAACGCTGCTGCTGGTGCAGTGGGGTCTCTTGTTGGTCAGATTGCCAAGCTTAAGGGTTGCCGAGTTGTAGGTGAGTAGTGCATGAGGAGTGAGTGTCTTGCTCTGTTACCTGCATGCGTATTTATCACACTTACACTTAGAGAACACCGAGTGTTCCTATGATTACTGCAGGATTTGCTGGAAGTGATGCCAAAGTCAAGTACATGCTAGGCCTAGGGTTTGATGCTGCCTACAACTATAAAAAAGTGGAGAGTCTGGATGCTGCTATCAAAGAGTCATGCCCAAATGGAGTTGACCTTTTCTTTGATAACGTAAGATATTCATTGAAACTTATGTTTGATGAATGACTGTATTACTCCACTTCTCAACATCATGTGTGTATATAGCAGCTGTATATTTTACTCCCAGGTTGGAGGAGAATTCTTTGAGGTCACTCTCTCAAACATGAATGAATTTGGACATGTCTCAATCTGTGGAGCCATTTCTCTCTATAATGCCACAGAAAAACCAAAATGTATATACAATTTGCTTGATACATAGGGAAAGGGAAGTGTAAAATGCAAAAATTTCGTGTTGTTGGTGAAGGGTATATACATAGAGAACTCGTAGCTAAATTTATGCCGTGTGATTTTACAACTATTTTTCCGTGTTTGTTTTGGGGTGTTAACCAGTTTATAGTCCCCTCTTTTGTCACTAAGTAGAACTCCGTGGTCAATGGCCATAGTCCCTACTCCTTTTAATGAGTAAGACCCTATGGCTAGTGATTGTGTGATGTTTTTTTCATCCAGTTGGGTCAGTATCTGATGTGATACTGTTCAAGCAGCTCAAAGTTGAAGGATTCATTGTGTCCCGTTGGCTCGAGCAGTGGCCCAAAGCCTTCAAGGAGATTTCTGGGTGGATTCAAGAGGTAAGTTATAAGTACCAGGTTACAGGAATAAGGATAGAGTACGCAATCAGACTCACTATTCTTATAGGGAAAGGTGAAGTACGATGAGCACATCACTGAAGGCTTTGAGAACATGTTTGAGGCATTTACTGGTTTGTTTACAGGCGACAACACTGGAAAAGCTGTTGTGAAGATTTAAAGTATCTGACTAGCATTGATAAGGACTATTTTTCTACCCTAAGGTAACACCAAATTAATTTTGGATTTCACTACATCTGCAAAAAAAATGCGCTGTATACATAGGGGCTCCTTTCAAATGGAATTAACATGTTATTAGCAGAACCTGCTTAGAGCACCTTTTTTCATAATGTTACGGGTGTGAGCCTTCCCACTTAATGTGCAAATGTATGGATCAGTTCATAATATCTACAAAGAGATCCAAAGGCTGCATGAGAGGCTCATTTTGAAATAAACTACGAACATAGAAATTGAATTTCTTTCTTGGGTTGGAACCTTACCTGCTGCATATAAACCAATTGCAAAATGCACAGCTTTGGCAAGGCTACATACAAGCTCACATTGACTTGTATTTGAAGGTTTGAAGGAGTCCACTCCCTGTCCTACACCGGCTTTTTTAACACAGAAATGCCAGGACCAGCATAGAGCTACATGTACATCAAAAACAGCGAATTAAGTGAAGCGTTTTTGAGCTCCTAATTTATTTAGCAGTTATGTTTATGTTGTAGTGTACTGTTCTTGAAGCACAAGCGGTGATGTAAGGGCTTCACAAGCCCGGAAAGCAGCCAAAGACAAGGCAGAAGGAGTTGAAAGGCTGGCCAATGTAATTGTGAGAGATAACAGTTGCTTTTCAACGATAGAGCTTTGTGGATCGCCACTAATGTATAGCATTCTCAGGGGTAGCTAACAGTAGGTCTTGAATATCGAATAGTCTGTCTATTAACCTATGTGTGATGAATGCGCATTGGCGAGCGGGAGTGAGCTAACCGTGGTCCAAACGGTGCGATTTTTCTATTTATATACGGACCGTGTACATCGTGTATGTGCACATGCGCGGCTTCGTTACGCGCTTCTTTTCCAAATTTTTTTCACATGTGCTACCTGCACATGCGTCAGGATAACGCGCTTCTACACGCTGCTATATAATGATGGCTCGTGCAGATACAGTCATTGTGTGCTCGCTCGCGCTCGCCAAAAATGCCATGCATTCGCCTACTAGTAAAAGAGGCTAGTAAGTAGAGGTGTGGCATGCTTGGTGTGTTGCACCCTGCAGTACAGAGAGGATAGTACAGCACTTATGATATGTGGAACCCCCTAATATGGTGTCAAGACTAGACCACTTTCAGATGTTTAGTGGCAGAGCACTTATCTACCCAAAACAAAGTTTCGTGGGTTCGAGTCCCACCAAAGTGCCAAAGTGTTGTCCGAGGTGTAGTTTGAATGAACTTGCATTCATGCCAGAATAAGGCTATGCTTTTCCTTCAAGTCTAATTTAAAACAGCCTGTTTGGACCTTGTCAATGCTGGATGACGTGGGTGCTGCAGGTTAAGAGGGTTTTGTGAAACTGCAGAATAAACATTCTCTGCCCTGATATTTCACAAGCCAGAAACAGAAGCTGTTATACATGTGAAGTCACCAATGCAAAGCAGCTCTCACAACATCAGAATGGTTTACCCTTGTTTGGCTAAGGTGCTGTCATCTTCTTTTTGTAGCAGGAAGGGGGGAAACAGAGTACAGATAGTGCTGCTCCAAGGTTTCAGTGTATTTTCTGCACCAGCAAATGTTTGAGTTTATATTACTAGCCTATTTTAACCACAAGGTTTGATTTTGCATCATTAGGGAGATATCCAAACATGTATTAAACAGCGGAACACTGATTAAAAAAAGGTCTCACACTATGCTCATAGATTTCTACAGGGACCAGTGTCATTAGCATACTCGTTGGACCTCAGTTTACCTTCAGGTGCTATAAAAGAGACTATATTGAGAGAATACAGTGGAACCTCCGAATAAAGGACACAGTGGGGGCAAACATTTTGTCCATCGTTCAGAGGTTGGCACATCCTCAGAAGTTCTACCATGAGAACCGGGACGGTGGGTTAAGGGGTCTGTTACGGCTAGCCAACTCTCCCCACACACCCAGTATCCAAACTCCACATCACAAACAATGACAGCCACACAGTGAGAAATTGTACGATAGCACAGTCACGACAACACATGAAGGTATTAGACCATGTGATGCCAAGAGAAAGTGTGATACATATAAATAATATATGCACAAACATAGAGGGATGTTTAAAAAGAAAGGGAGACAAGACGGGGATGACGTACATGTAGCATGGTTAATGAACAGATTTGAGCATGCTGTCACCCCTGACCCCATCACACAATCCCTATATTGTTGCCTGGTGTTCACTCTTGAACTCCTCTTGGACTCGTGTTGAACTTTCAAGCTAAAGTCCTGACTATTATTATTACTGAATGTTCACCTAGGCAATAATATAGGGATTGTGTGATGGGGTTGGGGGTGTCAGTGTACTCAAATCTGTTCATTAACCATGCTTCATGTATCCCATCCCTCTTCCTTTCTTTTTATACCATCCCCATATGCCTCTTTATTTAAATTCGCAGGATTTTGAAGCATATCCAACAAATGCTTCCTTACAAGTTGGTCGTAATTACAATGACTGGCAATATATGTGGATGGTTGGACTATACTCTGCAACTCGTTTACTATTACATCAACATAAAATTTCTCACAAACTACTAAAATATTATTGCTCGCCTTGTCTGCGGGGACTAGAACATTATCTCTGGTGAAACTGTTCTCTAAATGAGCGTGATTCTTCAGTACATAATGTATGGGCTTCTTCCTCTTGAGAACATTTATCCTATTTATAATACATTCATTCATCTTTCTATGCCACTCGTTTAACATTCGGACATCAAAATGCTCTCTGTTGGCCCACTGCACCTTATACGCTCGTATCGCATCCAAGAGTATCAATTTTAGTTTATATTATTCAAAGGGCCTTTTATCAAAAGCCTACGAATTTGTCTATCATCCACAATACGTAGTTTACCAGTTATTACATGCCCAGTTGGACTGCATAACTACTGCAGTCACAAGACATTTCCTTTGAGCCAACAGTAAAGTCTATCTCCGAGACCATGCCTAATGTATCCCATCCTTATCTTGTTTCCCTTTCATTTTCTATGCCTCTTTTTTAAATTCGCATAAGCATTTTTAATTAATTGCTTCCACTCATTTCTATAACTATTACGTATTATCTCTGTTAAAGGCGGCAAGCCCCCTATAAAAATTATTTTGACAAAAAATTAAGAATAGAGATAATTGCCTAGGTGAAGTATTTAACATTCAACATTACAAAAGTCAGGACTTACAGCTTGAAGATACAAAAAAGTCATGCTACTGAGTAACCAAGGGTCCAAATGGAGTTTACGAGTGGCACACCAGGCAACAATAAATTATAGGGATCAGGAGTTTCAGTGTACTCAAACGAAAGTCGCAGTCGTTTCAGGAAAAACTCAATTTTATTTTACATGCGCTTGTATAGAGCACTGAAGCGTTTGGTATCGCTCTTAGGCCGCCTCGTAGCCTGTAGTGCGAGAATAGTTGTGGACGCACAGACACACACACACACTGTGGCACTCCATTTGTGCTCTTTGGTTATTCAGTAGCATGACTTTTTTGTATTTTCAAGCTGTAAGTCCTGACTATTTTGTAATACTTCACCTAGGCAACAATATAGGGATTGTGTGATGGGGTTGGGGGTGTCAGCGTGCTCAAATCTGTTTATTAACCATGCTTTATGTATCCAATCCCAATCTTGTCTCCCTTTCTTTTTATACCATCCCTATATTCCTCTTTATTTAAATTCGCAGACTTTTTAATTTACTTGCCTCCACTCAGTTTTATATACTACTGCATATTATGTTAAAGGAGGCAAACCCTATATAAAAATTAAGAAAAAATTGTGGGTGAGGTATTAAACATTCAACATTACAATAGTCAGGACTTCCAGCTCGAAAATACAAAAAGTCTAACCAAGCCATAACAATGTGAAGTCGTAAGTCTTGCTACTGAGTAACGAAGGGTCCAAATGGAGTTTTGGCACACCAGGCAACTATAGGGAAGGATTGTGTGATGGGATCGGAGGTTTCAGTGTACTCAAATCTGTTCATTAACCGTGCCTAATCTATCCCATCCCTATCTTGACTCTCTTTCTTTTTATACCAACCCTATAATGCCTCTTTATTTAAATACGCAGGATTTTAATTTACTTGTCTCCACTCATTTTTATATATTACTACGTATATCTCTGTTAAAGGGGGCAAGCCCCCTATAAAAATTAATAATGTGTGCTGCCGTTAGCAAGTTGGAAGAGTGAAGTAAAGGCCTGAATGATGTAATATACATGCGTACCAAGTTTAATCTCTATACGTGCTACCATTAGATAGTTTTAGAAGTCAAGAAGTAACTTTGAAGAAAAGTGCCTGAGAATTTGTAGTTGTTTACTGTTGTTTTTTTGATGTTGATGATATATATCACTAAGTACAGTAGTACTTAGGGTTGGGAATGGTACCTAGTATCATAGGTGTGTACCATTCCCCGTGTCACTAGTTGGTGGCTGGCGCTTCAGTATCCATGTTTGAGAGTTTGACAATCATCTTTTTACTGATAGCCACTGAATATTGCTCTCAGTGTAGCAAACTCTGCACAAAACTATATAGTGACTCAGAATAATGAATAATGCAATTACTAGGAGTGTTCAGGAATGTTCAAGAGCGCCATGGGTTACATTTCCCCATGCTGGTTGGTAGCCGTCCTCGGCAACCTGTTTGTTCTCAGACGCCCAGCCCACTTGCTTGGTAGAGAATCCTCCACATGCTTGCTTCTCTTCTTCCTCTTTCTCTTCGAGATTTCGTCTCCTTGCTGCGTGGATGAGTCCACATCTTGATTGTTGGCTGTTGTCCAGGGGTTTTCATCAGCTTGTAATGCTTGTGAACTTATCGTGTCTGTGGAGTCTTTAGTAGGCACAGCAGTTCCGCCAGTGCCCTTATCCTTTTGTCAGTATTCTCACGGACGTTTTCTTCTCTCTGAACTGGGGTTTATGGTGCCACATTGGCTTCACCTCCCTCGGAGTCTAGACCTCCACCTTGAGCTCCTTTTCCAGCAGACTGGATATATGGCTGGATGTCTTCTTTAAGTCTGGTTGGACTCAGTGGTTTCCCGCTAGCATCCCCCGTGGTTCCTTCCCCATCGTGGTCGTGAGAGTCTTTGTTACCATCATCACACGTTCCTGCCACAGCTTCAGTCAGCTCCTGGGTCGACTCTCCCGCAGCCTGCTCCTGCTCTCCTGACCCCCTAGCTCCTTCTTGGCTAGCTGGTGGTTGTTGGGTAGGCCCTGCTTGCCTGGCAGGAGATTGGCAAGTCTTCTTGGGTGTTTTACTAGGAGGCCAAAATTCATCTCCAACTTCCCCAGGGCAGTGGCGAAGACGATCCAGAGAGACAAGTATCGGCTCACTCTGAGGTCTATCCACGAGGCAGATCCGAGCAGTGTTGGTCCCCACTTCTAGTAGACGGTACGGCCCATGAAACGGTCTAGCAAACTTCCTGTTCTGGCCCCAGTCAGTTCTGCTGGTTTGAACAGGAATACTCTCTCCCCTGTTCTGAATGGGTTCTTGGTTCCTTGATCGTACACCTTTTTCTGGTGTTTTTGTGCCCTGGTGATCTGCTGCCGTGCAACTGACTGATCTGGCACGGCGAAGACCTCTGGCCACTTTGTGAGGTAGTCAACTAAGACGACTGCATACTGATTTTCACGGCTGGTCTTTGGGAACTGGATCACGTCAACGCCAATCTCATCAAATGGTCCGGCCACTGGCATAGGGGTTAAAGGTGGTTTTACAGCTCTACCCACGCTCAGAGTAGCACAGACGATGCATCCTCTTGTCCACTGGGTAATGTTTCGACGCATCCCCACCCACCAGTAGTGTCTCCGGAGCTCACTATACACCTTTGCGTCGCTAAGGTCCTCCATGAGATTCTAGGGAGAGACGTTCTCTCTAGTCAACTGGGGGAACAACTCGCAGGGTTCCATCATCTTCAACGCGATAGAGGACGTCGAGAGTGAATTGTCCACTAGATAGTACAATCCGCCTGGCATCCTTGTCATTCTGCGGGAGCGTCCCTGTCTCGAGGTACTCTATCAGGGGTGCCAGTTCTGTACTTACACGTTGAAGTGTAGCTATGTTATTCTCCTCTGCTAAGTCATCTCCTTTTTCTCTGTCCCCCATTGGGGTGAGTGCAGCCACCAGCCTCTCTGCTTGGGTATCATCCGTGGAGTCAGGCAATGGGTAACGGGAGAGAGCATCTGCATTGCCATTGTGTTTACCAGAGCGATTTTCAATAGCGAGGTTGAGTTCTTGCAGGGCCACCCCCCATCTAGCTAGCTTGCCTGACGGCTGAGGCGTGTTCAGGAGATATTTCAATGCCTCGTGGTCCGTGAATACAGTACAGTGGTGGCCATAGAGATATGGTCAAAAATGGTTAGCTGCCCATACTACCAAGTCCTTCCAACTCCGTAATTCTGTAGTGCTTCTCATGTTTCTGGAGAGAGTGACTAGCATAGGCTATGGGTCTGACTAACCCATCCTCCTGCCGTAGGGCCAATAGTGCCCCCACTCCTGAGGCATCAGTCTCCAGAATGAAGGGTTTTGTGAAGTCTTGGTACTTCAGCAAAGGCGCTGAGGTCAGCAACTTCTTCAGCTGCTTAAACGCCTGCTGACAATTTGGTGTCCAGACGTATGGGATGTTCTTCCATGTGAGGGCATTCAGAGGTTTATCTACGAAAATCCAGGGACAAATCTTCTATAATAGCTCGCCAGGCCCAAAACTTTACGCAGTGACCTCACATCAGTAGGAGTTGGGTAGTGGCTCACAGCTCATAGTTTCTCTGGGTCCGTCTGGATTCACCACATGTCCCAAATACCCAACGGATTCTTGGGTGAATCACATTTCTTGGGCTTCAGTCTCAAACCTTCTTCATGGATTCTGCTGAAT